TGAGGATGAGGGTTATACATTTGCCTGTTTGTCTATGTGGGTTACCATATAAAACAAATTACATAAACATTTGTTTGGATCATGGGACCAAGCGCCCTACAAGAAAACCAGTCAGGCTAAGGTGAGCCCCCAAAGAGTCGATCACAGTAAAAGTTTCACCTTAAATTTGGTAAACCTAAGCATTTTTTTAAACTTTTTTTAATCTGCAAGTCGGCCACTCGGAGTGGCAATGTGAAAAACTGGAGTGCAGCCAGAGTGATTTCATGAGACCACATACCTTAGCTTATTAAGAAAGACTCCGTGTCAGCATAAATCCGAGTGAAAAGGAGACAGAGCTGCAGGCTGGGCTGAGCTTCGAGCTAACGCAACAAATATTTGGATTTCTATACAAATGTATTTCTGTGCGAAACACGTGAGAGAGGTGGAATGAATAAAAGATGAATACGATAATTAAGAGTCTGGAGTATTGAGTAAAAGACAGATGTAGATGGCTTGCAATGACCATAAAAACTTACAGGTATTGAATTGTTGGGGGGGAAATACAGTAGTTCAATTTGCAGTATTATTTGTTAGACATGTTAAATATTGAAAAAGTCATTTATCAGAAGTGAAGACAAAGTAACACTTGGCGAATGGGCAAGCCTAATTGACTTCTTAGTGTGATTTCTGTACATTAGTTTTATATGATAGTTAGAATATCAGGAGATGGTGTGGCAACATGGTCCTGCAGTCTTCAAAGTGCAATTTATTAGCATGACATGACAAAGGCTAAGCGAGGCCTGCTTTGGAAAAGGCCCAGTGGACGGCATCAGCTTCATTCAGAGCGTTCCAGGCCTCTCTGGCTCCATCAGCCGTTTCCTCGTTGGACAGTGGGCAGCATTGTTAAGTTCAAGAATGGCTACTCGATGAGACGGGCAAGAGATCGGTGTGAAAAGGGCGAGAAGGAGGAAATGATGGAAGCAAAGGGAGAGCAGAATAGGGGGCTCTGTAGTGGGGACTCTGTCGGTTCTCTGTATTGCATAATGATAGTGGTCACGACACAAAGAGAGCACACACTCACACACACAAAGATCAGTAGACTTACAGATGGGGAGCGGAGTGTGTAAATGAGCTTTTTATGGACTGAGAAGCCCAACAGCAGCACATTATGTCTGTCAGCTCGCCTCAGCAGTCTGCATCTCTGTCGTTACCTCATGTCCTGCCAGTTGTCTATTAGACAACGTGTCTTTGCTCTTCTCACAAGAGAGAAGTCTGTCCTCTAATCGTAGGCATGTTTTCCATCCAGGCAGTCAAAACATAAGAAATCCCCACAGTCATGTTGCAATTGTTTCTGCAGATCTGTATTAGTCATGATGTTGATGACAGTGATCCAGATGTGCATTCTTTCTGGTAGAGACCAGCTTGTTGATCAGTTAGTCTGTAGTCTATATATCAAGAAGAGGATACCTGGCAAATTAAATGCTCTGCAGCTCCCCCTAGTGTTGAGTTAGTCATGTGGCAGGCAGTCTGCTGAGGTATGAAAAGAGCAGTCAGGTATTTCTATGTTTCTCTGTCGTTTACTGCATTTAAACATAAAGGATCTAAATGTTTTATAGGGTGAGTATAGTATAGAGGGAGATGTGTTTCACAATGCAAACCTTTAGGATGAAGGAAAATTTATCCTATAGTACTGAGTGCATAAAGTCCATCAGTAGGCGGAAAGGTAGTCGGGATACTCCCCTCATCTTCCCTTCAGATATCACTGATAAAGCAGGACTTGAACGTTACTAGGACCAAAAATCACATGCTTTATAATGCCCTCATGAAAAAGGTTCAGGATACCAAATTGTAAATGAAATACGTATAATTTATTTAGTGCCATAATTGGTAAAATTGTAAACTAATGTTTGCATCTGTCTGTTATCTTACATGATGTGTTTCCCTCGCTTGTCCAAGGTAAATTTCTCCCAGGACACAATAAAAGCTAATCTGATATTGAAAGTTTGCAATACCTGAATGAAAAGCTTCAGTTTTTGTATAAGCAAACTTTGTATGCTCATTTCCAACTCTGTGTTTAAATTGTTGGACTCTTAACAGGGCAGCTTCGCCTGATTCAGTTGAAAATAAACTTTTTTCCTTTTATCCTGCAGCTCCTCAGTCAACCTGTTTTGGCTCTTTTAGCTTTCCTCTCCTCCCTTTAATTGGATGCGTCTCACAAACAGAAGGTCTGTGGGCGGGCTGCCGTGCTCACAAGCTGAACCTTGTGCATGAGATGATGATATTGGGGATCCAATCCACTCCCACTGACATCACCTAGAGCTAAGAGCCTTTTAGAGCAGTCTGAAGACTCACTTGCATATATGCTGTCAGCTTCATTTGAAACTTTTTCCATTTTAAGTATAGACATCCAGCACTGGAGCTGTAAATAGATGTCAGAAAATAAGGAAAAGCATTTTAGGTGTACTTTAAAGTCTACGAAGCAGTAACACGACTCTTGGCATACATTTAAATATTAGCACTTTACCTCACAACCTGGAAGTATAATTAGACTGGATGAAATCCAAAGTGTTCGATGTGTCTCACCATAGCCCATGTTGAATTTCTTTCTCACAGATCTGAAGCGAGAGGCGAGCATCTGCCACATGCTGAAACACCCCCACATCGTGGAGCTGCTGGAGACTTACAGCTCCGATGGCATGCTCTACATGGTCTTTGAATTGTAAGTGTGTCGTGCACACAGTTCACATTCCCATCCAATTTTAGGTTTGGATTTTGTATGTTTTATGTATGGCAGCTTTTCTCTTATAAACTACCGTCAACACCGCACTAGGCAAACAGTTACCAACTAATTTTATCAGCACTAGGCAGATGGCTGTTACTGGTAATTTCACACCCCCTTGTTTTTGTGGTTTCAGACTTCTTGGTCTCTTTGACGAGAAAAAGGGAAAAAAAAGTGTGATATTTGAAGATATTGCTAGGCCAGCGCAATATGTAATCATAAGTATAATAGTGTACAGTTCCTGATTTCTTACATTTTTGCATCTTTTAACACTTGCATGTTTCAAACAAATAATTTAATTTAAAGGGGGGGGGGAAGAAAAGCTATGTAAACCTACTTGGGCCCCTGTGGAAAAGTAATTTCCTTCCTTGTTAAATCATGAATTAACTGTGATTAACTATGTTTTTGTAATTCAGTTTCAGTACTCACACCAAGACCTGATTACTGCCAGAAATCACTTAAATAGAACTTGTCTGACAAAATGAAGTAGGGTTTAAAAAAATCTCTCAAAAAGCATCATTCAACGATCTAAAGACACGGCTGAGACACAAAGTCACTGACATTTATCAATCTGGAAAGGGTTACAAAAGCCACTTCTTAGGCTTTGGGCCTCCAGCGAACCACAATGAGAGCCATTATCCATAAATGGAATGAGACGCTAGCCTACCAGAATGACTCCAAGAGTGCACCACTCATCAAGGAGGTCACTAAAGACCCCAGAATAACATCTAAAAAACACAAGGTTTGAGTCCTGTTACATCTGATGTACAACTAACAACATTTTATAAAAAGATCATCATAGCAACAGGCAAACATGGTGGTGGTAGTGTGATGCTCTCGGGCTGTTTTGCTGCTGTGATTGATGGAACCATGAATTCTGCTCTCTACTGCAAAATCCTGAAGGAGAACGTACGACCATCAGTTCATGTCGTGACGCTCGAGCGCTTTTAATTATGATGAAACAGATCCAAAACACAGCAGCTAGTCCACCTCTGATTAGCTTATTTGAAGAAAAAAAACAAAGGTTTTGGAGTGGCCTTGGCAAAGTCCAGACTTAAATCTGATGGCATGACATTAAACAGCCTGTTCATGCTTGAAAACCCTCCAGTGTGGCTGAACTAAAACACTTCTATAAAGAAGAGTGGGCCAAAATTCCTGTCCTTTCTCACACAGGGCCAACTGCATTCTGGATTTACTTGGGTTATCTTTGGCTAATATTAAAATTTGTTTGATGAGCTGAAACATTCAAGTGTGACAAATATGCAAAAAAGAAATCCGGGAGGAGGCAAATACTTTTTACAGCACTATACATGAGAAGTGTTTGAAGGAAAAATAATTTATTGTATCGGCTGTTATTTTTTTTGTCTTTCATCTGATTATTGAAATGATTCAAATGTAGCCTGAATCTAAACCAAATCTAAATCTATACTAATAAAGAGTTCTCAGCTGACTCATTACTAAACAGATCATTTCATACCCACCCTAAACCTTTCTTCCTTTTTTCTAGTATGGACGGTGCAGACCTGTGTTTTGAAATCGTGAAGCGAGCTGATGCTGGGTTTGTGTACAGCGAAGCAGTGGCCAGGTAGGGGACACAGTCTGTGAAGTGTGGGCTTCACATTTTCAAATATTATTAAAGCCTGAAATACACAACATCTCTGTGCACGCTCTAAATGATGCCCCCCCTTCTGTTTCTGCTGTCTGTCCCTCCAGCCACTACATGAGGCAGATTCTGGAGGCGCTTCGATACTGCCATGACAACAATGTGATTCACCGTGATGTAAAGGTGAGCTTTCATGCAGTCAAGCTAGTGAAACCACAGAACATGTTCCATGACTCGCAAAGGACAACCTATTAAATATATTTATCACACCAGAAGTGTATACTGCACGGTGTTACTGCCTTCCTGTGAAGACGCTGTCTTCACTGCTTGTGGGAAGGCAAATGCTAAAAGCGACCCACGCTTTACCCGAAAGTTTCCCTTGATATCCGCTTTTAATATTAAGTTTAGTTACTCTGTGGTTTTTAGAATAAACCACCATGAGGTCTCTTTTTTTTTCCTTTAGGCAAACCAACACCTCAGCAAGAGTCAGTGTTAGCTGTAGCATACAGCGGTAAAATAAATATTGAACACCAATTTTAGTAAAGTTGTGAGTAAATACATTTCTAAATGTGCTATTAATATGAAGTTTTGACCAGATGTCACCTTTAGAAATATATTTACTGAAATACTTGGGGATCTACGGCTGTAAATAAATCAACTGTGTGGATTTATTAGGCATTCCTAGAGCAAAATCAGAATCCCCCAGTATTTCCAACAGGATTAACCCTCAAACACAGGTGTCCGACACTACTAGACCATATGGAGCAGTGCTGAACCAGGCCCTTGATCCCATCTGAGCCATTTGACCACACAGGGCTCAAAGCTGTCAGCAGTAGAACCAGTGCAAGCGCTGATCATCATGGTGGGTCAAAGCTGGCTTTCGTTTGCTTCTTGTAAGAGCAGACTATTGAGCTCAAGCAAAGCAAAAGGCTTAAAGGACGAAATAGGTTATTGTCCATTCCAGCCACTTTTTTTTCTTCAAAATTAAAACAAATTTGGGGTAAATAAACGATTCTCTTACATGAGCAGACTCACTGCGATTAATCTGCATGATTCACACTTAATAAATAAAATTATATTAGTTTTTCTTTCACTGGATCCAGAGTTAAGATCCACAGTCAAAGCATTTAACGCAATAGGAAGCCTGAGCTCCTACATACTCTGACCTCCTTGTTTGAAACACTGGTTGTTGTTAGAGGATCCACCACTGTAACAGTATAGGTATGCCAATATAATGTGCTCTGTGCTGAAAGAGTGAAAAGAGAAAAGTTAGTTCTCTATTAAAGTCTACAGCAATTTATTTTTTCTCCATAAAACTTTTTTTTAATACTGAAAATTCTTGACATTCACTCACACACACACACGTTTCATATCATCATTAGTCTTGTAAATGTAAATTTTTAAAGACATGGCTGATGCTGTAGTACGTCTTCAGACATAAATCTGTTGTCTTTAACCAATAATGGAAATTGGTTCAAAATCCATCTCTGACAGTGGTTCATGTACGGGGGCATAATTTGTTAGAACCGAAGCTGTCAATGGAAATGCTTTACTCCGATTTTTTTTTCCTCCTGTGATCACTGTTGGCCAGTAGGTGGAAGCGTAGTCACTCTTGTGCAGCGGAGGTTAGAGTTGATGACACACATACTGGTTCTGGGGGTGAGTGACTGAGTGTTTACACCGAGGTTGGGTACAACCACAGGGACAGACGGCCGTCTGAAATCCATGGTGGAGCTGTTGGATGTCACGTCATTCAGGAAGAGAAACCGGTGGCCGAGTCTGCGTCCGAGTGCTTGGAGGGCAGCTTTGCGCACCGAGCCCGATAACAGAAAGTACATGACAGGATCCAAGCAACTGTTAAAGGCTGAGAATAACAACATCACCTCATTGGTCCAGTCCATGATTTGCATGTAATTACACGATAGGCTTGAGCTCAATTGGGAGGAGATGTAGAAGGGGCGAAAGGCGTGGTAGGGCACGAAGCAGATGGTGAAGAGAAAGAGGACAAAGAAGGACTTCTTTGCGGTTCTCCTGTATCTCTGTGCGTTAGGTAGGTCCGGCTTGTCCCGTGACACCTGCTGCAGCCGTGAGGCAATCTTGGCATAGGAAACCACGAGGATGATGAAGATGAACCAGAACATCACCACCAGCCCTGCGTTGATGTAGGCTTTCCAGTAGGCTTTTTGTCGCAATTTGTACTGGAAGCACTTATCGCTGTGTTCCTTATCCTCTGGTGCGGCAATCATGGGAATCGTACCCACCAGGAATGCAATCCACAGAACTCCACATGCCACCCAGCTCCACGGCTTGCTTTGCCCCCACAGCCTCAGCCTTAGGCCTCTCCGTGCTCTGCCCTTCCCCTTCAGCCTCAAGTACCTGTCCAGGCTGATGAATCCGAGTAGAAATATGCTCATGTACATGTTCATGTAAAATAGGTTTCCCACCATCTTGCAGGCCACAGGTCCCAGTACCCATTTGTTTCCATTAATATGGAAGAAGACCCTGAAGGGCAGGCATGCCAGGAAGACCAGATCAGCCACTGCACAGTTGATGAGGAACACCCGCACTGAGTTTCGGCCCGAATGCAGGAACAGGAAGACCCACAAAGCAAAGAGGTTACCCACGAGTCCAAAGATGAAGAAAAGAGAGTAGACCACCGCCTGCAGAACACGGAGGCTTTCATTATTAAATGAGCAAGGCATCGGGGTTGAAGTGACAGCTGTGTAGTTTGAGGTGGAGAAAGGAGAAAGAGAAGACGGTGACATGTAGCCTGGGAGGGATGACGTGGATATAGGGAGAGAGGTGTCGAACACTGCAGAGGTTGGGAGTACCGGCCTGAAAGTCGTATTCATTGTGGCTCAGAAGTTTTAAACATCAGGACCTAAGGGGAAAAAAGGGGGAAATCAGCTTATTTTCACTGAATAGACATACAAAGAAGCTCTTGCTGTGCAGCAAAACAAGGTGCACGGACTGAAACTGCAATTGTGTGTTTTATGAGTAATACACAGTGAGGTGAGTAATACGTAGGTTGTAGATTAAGGTCACACACAAGTAATGATCTGTGAGTTTTCCACCATCAAGTGGAAATTATAGTAATTTGTGTTGAAAAAAGGTGCGGCACCTTACAAAATTAAAGCTCCGTACACTGTGCAGCTTTTTCAAAGTTCCACTGTGATTTAGCTTTCACGGGTGGGAGCAGGAGTCATGACTAATCAGAAGTTTTATGCCTGTTTAACGCATAAATTCCAGTCCCACGGTGTTAGAGCGAAGCCAAGGGGTGCACGCTGCAGATGCAAAAGCGCTCACAGTCACTCTGACTCGTACACACAGATGTTTGGATTAAGGTGCAACACTCACCATCAATAATCCTTCCATAGGAGATCCAACACAGCTGTGAATGTGTAGGAGTGTGAGCTCACAGTAGTCCTGCGTGTATTTTCCTCCGTCCATCTAATGCTGCTCCATTATCAGTCTCTTAAAGCTTTTGTTAAATGAATAAAGGTGAGTTTAATTGTTTTATGTTAAAAGAAACTAGTCCTGGCCGACCACCGCCTTTTTGCCGTTTTCACCTCTGAAGTAATTTATCCTGCAGGCTTGTCTGTGTCACCGCTTCTGCTCTGCTCAGCTTGTCTTCAGTCTTTACTGGAAAGCTCTTTCATAGCCTCTC